AAATGTTTTCCTTCTTTTTGTACTAGATATGTTAGGTCGGATTCAGGTATTACCTGCACCAATTTTTTTGATATTTAAGCCAATGTAAGTTTGATAATACTAACAATAAATGTGCAATCAATGTAACAAACTAATTTAATACCATAAACCTGTATTTATAGATTTTGGATAGACATATGATTAGTATTAACCTAATTACGACCCAAATAGTGATGGTCTAACTTAATATTAATGTAATTATGTTTAATGTTAATCTCTACCTTTAGACCAAACGTTTAACTATCCAACTAGTCCTAATGAGAATGTAGGTTGATTGACCACTCGATTCTTAAACTGATTGGATGATCATATCTTACAATAAAAATAAAACTGTAAGTTGTCTAAAACAATAAATATATATATATATAAATTTTTTTCTAAAAAATGTATAACCAAAACAAACCAACCAATAGTGCTAAAAATATGAAAGAAGATAAAAAAAAAAATTAAAATTGAGTCATTACTGCAAATAATTTCTTTTATCTACGGATTTCCAGTTGACATTCCAATTGTTTGAAAACGAAGAATCATCTTAATGAACCTATTATCCATAAAAAAGATGGACCCAATAGTGAATAAAACATTCACAGTTGTAATTAAAAATATGTAACAATTTTAATTAGTTAAAAGTTATATAAGGGGATAAAAGCGTTCTCGTTAAAATATCAAGTGTTGCAAGTTACCATTATTATGTATTTAAGAAACATTGCATTTATCTCTCATGAGGTTATTTTAAATTATATTCATATCTTCTGTAAATTATATCCCATTAGAAAATATCCATATGAATGTATAAACAAATTTCAATAAAATCTGAAAGTAGATTTAATACAGCTAAGTTGTTTTCAACATACAGCCAAAATGATGAATTTGACTTTTAATAAATTTGACTTGTCTATCAACATGTTTAAATATTATCGTTTAAATTTACCTGAAATTTAAGAAATTAATAATTATATTTTTCATATTCAACCGTAACTTTTTATTTTTCAGTTTCTAAAGTTAAATGTCAATGACAAAAACAACACATTCTAACTATCATGGTTAAATATAATAAGAACACATAAAATCATAAATATATATTTTAATTAGATTTAGAGAATTATTTTTTTAAATTAATTGTATTTAAATTTATATATTATCGTATAACTTAATTAAATTCATTTTAAAAAATTAATTTTACTTGAATTATACTTTAAATCAAAGTTTTATTTAAGTTTATATTTTTAAAAATTTATAACTCCAAAAATAATTATCTTTGAATATTATATATTAATTATATTTAAACAGTAAGAGAGAAGCTTGAATATTTATACATTAATTATATTTCCATTGAAGGAAAATACCCTTTTTGAACGAAAATACATTGTCTAGGTAAGAACTCAACAAAAAGTAGAGTGAATTTTTTAAATATTGTTGTTTAAACGAAATTTTCTATTTTGGTTGGACGAAAATAACACGATTTCACCGTATTCTCAACATTCATAATCAAATCTCAAACATCATAACAAATCCAAACCATTCAAGATTAAAAAAAAAATTAACTTCCCTCACCTTAGAAAACAACCTAAACATGGAAAGACACAAATTGACTTCAAATTTGCAAATGCTCTATTTCAACATAAATACATCAAAAACACGGTTGAACGAAACTAAAAGAGCCACTGATTAATAAAGAGTGAAATAAAAGACTCTATGAATATATCCAACTCAAAAAAAGATTGTATGTACAGTCAAAACAGATCAAGTATTGAATGCGACTAAAATGTCGACTTACTTTAATAAAAATTTAATTGAATAAAACTAAAATTTTGATTTACTTTTAAATAGAAATTTAATTCAATTAAACTTAAAGAAAATTTTATGACTATTGTAATCCCAAGCTTTGATAACGAAGATTATGGAATTTGAGTGAAAATATAAAGAAACATATTTGAGGTTGTCCACAGAGAAACAAAGGTTCTATGTTTTATTTCTTTTTTGTAAAATAAAAAAAGAGTCTTACAAAAAAATAATTTTAAATGACTTTATCTAAAATTTACAAAATGAAAAAGATAGAGATATTGGTGAATATAAAAAAGCTCTTCTGTTTTTCTAAACAAGCTCTGAAATTGTAGGGGTGAAGCAGGACATCTTGTATACTTTGTGCAATTTTGTTCCAATGTTTTTGTTCTATATATATGACTAATAATTTCTTTCATATGTAATTTTGTCCTATATGTGATCCCATGAAGTGGACCTATTTCCTTTTAATAGTGTTTTGTCATAGTAGTAAAGCTAAATCACTTACCTAGCTCTCTTTCCCATAAGGAAAATGATAAATGTACATTTTCTACTGAGACTATTATATATTTTTATATATTGATATATTTAAAGTAACACGTCAATTATAATACATTTAAACATTTCACGACTATTAAAAAAAATCTCCTAATAAAAAATCTTCCAAAATCCCATAATAATTAATAATCTTGTGACAACATTAAAATAGGAGATCAAACTAATTAATTAAACAAAGGAAATAATTAATTAAATAATTAAATGCATTATTATAATAATAATAAACCAGTAAAGTTAAATTAATAATATTAGTTTAAATAAATATTATCAAGTATATAAAATTTTAGTAATATATATATATATATATATATATATATATATATATAGACACAGTAGGAACCCAAGACTTATAACTTAGCCAGTCAAGACCACTATTTCTGTGTGCGATGTGGACCTTACAATGCTGTAACCGTAGTACTAATACCAATGTGTTTCTCAAATTCTATGTTTATTACTATAACACATTCTCCAAGAGTAACAAACTAAAATCATGATCTGAATAATAATGATATAATACACACAATAAATTTTTACATTTATTTTATATTTTAATATCCTTTTTAAAAATATAAAAATTCAATTTTTTAATAGTTATATTATCATTAAAAGAGGATTGTCAAATTGTGTTTTTGGTATAAAAGAACACTTTTAAAAAAAAAAATAACTGCTAAGCCAACTCAGCCTATTAAACAGTATCAGATAAGCACGAGCTACAGACAAAAACCTTCCGGACAGGTGTCAGCACAAACCTTTCCAAACAAGTTATAAAGATGACAATTGGTATGAATCAGCACCAGCCACTGAAAATAGAATAAACAAAAGATTGGAAAAGTTTTGTAATTTCAAATGTTATTACAAATTGATTAGCACATTCCATGAATTTTTGGTTTATTGACGACAGATACATAGCATTCTATTTAATTTTTTTAACAAAACTTGCTTGCTAAATAATTCTTTGTATAAAAATTTACTCCTTTACTTCTTCATGCCTGCAAAATTCAGACTGATCACTAATATAAGTTCAAACATAGTTGTTTGCATAGAAGTTATAACTACACATCACATGCAAATTTTTAAATTACATAAATCTCAATTTGATTTCCTTTAAAAACAATTTCCTTATTCTGCGACTAAATCTTACACCTTTGTAATCCCTGGATTACACCCTATACAATGACAGATTATGGAAAAGAAATAAAATGTTTTTGAAATTATTTAACTCCTTCAAATAACACCCAGTCTACATAAATGTAAATTGCACAATAAATTCCAATAAAAAGTTTACAAAAGAAAGAAAGTAAAGTTTCAGAGGATTTTTAAAAGGAAGATTCAAAGTTAATAAACTAAAATAATTTCTCTAAAATTATTGTCATCAAATGGATTTGTGAATCTAATTCAAGTGGATACTGTATAAAAAAATTCATATATGTTAATGTCAGGCCTTGATAAGGAATAGATCAGATTTGACATTTAACAAATTAGATCCCTATATATCAACAGCCGAAGGTAATAACAAGGCCCTGTGAGACATAAGAGAAAAATGATTAGGTTAAGAACTAGTCCCAATTACTCTTTCCAGTGTAAAGATCCTCGTAAGATAATTCAGGCAAGAAGGAAGTTCAAATCAAGAAATCCAATTATAGTTAATCACTGTTACCAACAGTTAAAAGTTCTTAAAGAAATTTGCAGACACTTCTGTTAGACATTTCCTCGTTTGAATAGACTATTGAGCTGTAGAACAAAATTGATTATTGACAAACAGAATGATAAAGCTTGAATGAACAAACACTGTTATCTAACACACAAAAACGTCAAATTATTTCTACAAGAGTGTTTTTATTGAAAACATTAGAATAGAGAGCGAGACAAGATATTTTAGTTTTTTTTAGCTTGAGTGTATAGAAGAAATATAAAACTTTTCAACATTAAAACAAATCAGTATACACCAATACAATGAACATCAACAAGGGATGGGGATAGGGTTAGTTAAAAAGAACATTGAAATGAGAGACTGCTTGAGAAATGCTATTCTTACTCTTTTTTTTCTCAAGGTAGTGAGCAAACAGTGAGATAATGGCAATGTAATAAGGTTTGGAAAGATCAGAAAAAAAATGTAACTAGAGATAAAATAAATCAATTCATGAGTCCTCATTCGTTACCTATAACGACCTAGGATTTTAAGTTTGATAATTTGGTATCAAAGTTTCTATGATCAAGTAGTCAGTAAAAGGTTAAATTTTTGTGCAAAGTTGTGTATTGTCTTTGCTTCTGGCTAAAAGAGCCTTAGAGTCTAGGGCATAATTTCACCGAAAAGATTAACCTTTGAGAATAAAAAGAGAAATGAGAAAGAAAACAAGATGAAATGGAGACCAGCTACAATTCTGCATCACAATTATGAGAATGGGCAACATTTACCAGGAGCATAACATTTGAATTGCTCTAATGGTCATTTAAAGGAAAAGGAAAAGACTGACACCAACAATAGAAGAAGAAAAATAAACATCTACTAGGTCTACGATTTTAAATAACCTAAATAGAATTTTTAATCCCATGAAAAGAAAAGACCCTCAGCATCCCATGAAAAGAAAAGACCCTCAGCATCCCATGAAAAGAAAAGACCCTCAGCATCCCATGACTGCGCAATTGCTGACAAAACTCCCTATCCGCCTTCTGTCAAGGACGTTCCACTGCAGTGGATGTTCATTTGGGATCCAAGAATTGATTTCAGTAACACCTGAACACTCAGTGGTAAGCCCACCAATAACCATCAGTCGATTTCCACATGCCCGAAATCCTACTCCCCATCCACCTATAGACGATGTTCTCTCAGGAAGATTTCCAATGGTTACCCATTTATTACTCTCTTTCTCATATCTTCTTACTATGTGCTGGTTACAATCTGCAGAATACAATACATTGTTCACTACTGCAAGCAAAGGAGGAGCCCCCATATTCGGTTCTCCACCTCGCGGAGGAAACATGTCGGGTATTTCACGCCATGTTTTCGTCTCCAAATCATATTCCTCACCACTGGTTATCTCTGTTTTGTTGTCTTCTGCAATTCCACCGATCACATAAAATTTTCCATCCATGAATACACCAGAAGACATCCTCCTTTTCTTATGCATGTTTGGAAGAGTCTCCCACTTTCTGGTTTCTGAGTTATAAAGTTCAGCTACATTCAAGACATTACCCACTGGGTCAACACCACCAGCCAGTATGGCAATTCCTCCATTGCTTGCAGATCCAAACAAGCATCTGGGAATGTTCATTTCTACAGCAGTTGACCAGGAGTTGGTCAAAAGGCTATATCCATAAACCATTGGACCCGATATATCCCTTCCGAAAACAAGAAGATCAGTACCAACACCCAACGACTCCTTGTCGGAACACAAAAAGCAGTCATTACGAGGCATTTTTGGCAACTTCATCCAGCGGCCACGGTTTGGATCATATGCCTCCCAATGATGGAGATTGCAAGAGAAGTAAATCCAATGCTCTACGATACCCATTTCCCGCCTCAGCCTATACAGTTCTCCACTCCGAATCAGAGATCGAAAACTACTGTTTAATGCAGAAACTATACCATAATCAGACCTTGACAGTTTTAGGAGAACATTGATAGAGAGATCACTGTAGAGATTTCCAATACGTGGGGTATTGTCAGCAATCTCAGCTTCAGGGTTTTGCTCATTCTCTTGGTCCTGGGGAAGGATAAGGAAAGCCATAACCCTCTTGCCACCCTCCTCGTCGGGGTCATCTGAAGCTTTGGATAACTTTTTTAGCACAGGTTCTTTTTCATCTACCTGCGAGCCCTTGTTGTTTGAGACATCCATGGAGGATAAAGTATCACAAGCCCCTTTGTTCTCCTCTTCACTTGAGTTTGCTACGTCCTTTGAAGCAGTACAGGATGAACCCTTGAACATTTTTTAGGGAAATGAAGAGCTTGGTTTCCTTCCATCAAAAATTAAAGTTAAATAGCCCTTCGTCAGTTTAACAACTTCCATTTTTAAGAAATTCTTACTAGCACCACATGCCACAGTACCATAAAATATAATTAAGGAGTACTCTTAACAAACATGCAAACGCCATATCGAATGGAAAACCACAGGCAAGACATCAACAATTCTTAATAGTCAATGTTATGCTTGAATAACAGTTGAAAACGTTTTTGCAATTCCTATTCACATTCTTGAATTCTGACACAAAACATTAGTCAGAGTATGAAAATCCTTTTTAACGCTCCAACCGGCCAACCTAAATTACAGTTTATTTGAAGCAGATGAATACAAAATCAAAAGTAAAGTCAGACCCAAACTTCCAGAATTTAGTGCATTCACGCATATATTAAAGACACGGCCATGAACACTGCCACTAAAGATAATCACATCTCTAACAGACAAAAATCAACACAAACCTCCCAAAAGTTGAGATGTTTTCGTGATTGGATCATAACGAATCAGGGCGAAAGTAAAAAAATGGAGCAATTCTGAGAATTGATCAGAAAAACAAAATTCAACAACAAAATAAAACAAAACTGTATATCGATCGATCGTTAGAAGACTCCACCGTTTAAAACTCCTTTTCTACAACGGATCGGTCATTTAAACTCCATTTTCTACAATAGCTCATAATTTACATCAGAAAAATGATATTTTATCACTTAAAAAAGTTTTTTCATCCATTTAACATTTTTTTTCTTTATTTTATTCTCTTTTTCTATAAATAATTTTATATTTTATTTATTTTATAAGTAAATTTATAATAAAAAATAATTAAATTTTTAAAAAATATTAAATTCAAAAAAACGATTATTTAAAAAATAAAATTGATAAAAGAATTATTTTAATTTAAAATATATTTTATTTAAATAATAAATTGAAAAAAAAATGTAGACAACAATAAAAGAATCCAATTTATACATATATAGACATACATAAAAGTTTACTTTGATACTAAATTCTTTTTTTTAATTTTAAATTATTCTCCACCATTTTTTACTTTATTTCTTTCTTTTTCTTTCTTTAAAAATAGAAAATTTCATTTTTATTAGAATTTAAAATTGTCATTACTTTATGTCTAATAACCTCTTTTATTTCCTTTTGATGATCATTTCATTTCTTCCATTTATCAAAGTATTGCTCTTTTTGCCAAAGAATATTTTTCCTATACAGTGATAGCAAACCCCATTCACCAGTTTACCACGATCTCTCTGTTGTGAAATTGACATAAAAGATAAAGAAGCATGCATGCAAGAAAAAACTGGAAACAGAAAGCGAGAAAAAGTTGAAAGAAAAGCTTACAAGTTTAGGACAAGAAGCTCTGTGGAGTTTATCACTCTCACTCTCACTCTCTAAATACCTATCAAACACCCTCTCAGACTGATTGACACTGAAAGGTTCTCACAGCTAAATAGTGTGTGTTGTATGAGTATGCCCTGATACTCTATTTATAGTAAAAAAAAATAATAAAGTAATAAAAATATTATGATAATAATGATAGAAAAATAGTGGGGCCTACCGTGACTGACTGACTCGGAGTAGTTTACAATGTGCTGTTGTTGCAGTGGAGAACCCAAACCGCTTACACCCGTTGCTGCACGTGTTTGCTGCATACTGGCTGTCTTATTTCTTTCATAGCTGTGCTTTAGTTTTTCAGTTTTTTTTCTTCCCCAACTCAGCAACTCGTTTATCATTAAATGTTCCTTGTCTTTGCCTTCCCTCATTTATTAAACATATTTAATTTAAACATTAATAAATATGAGAGTAACTGCTATGCTTCAATGTGGAAGTTACTTCATTATAATAAATGGACAACGTTTATAAGTAATAAATATAGGTATACTTTTAATACATATATATATATATATATATATATATATATATATATATATATATATAAAATTCAATTTCTTTGACAGTAGTTATTGACTCGTATAATAACTTCAACTTCTGAAGAAATACAGGAATGGTCCCCTCAAACTATCACCCTAAAATTTAGTAGAGATTTATTTTTACATTTCAAAAGAAAGTTTTGATTAAGATTAGTTGAGATTTAATAAGTGTATCCTATAAAAAAGGTAAAAAAATATATTTATCTCATAAAAATTTATGATGAAGTTATGTGCGTAATTTTTGTATCAGTTCATTAACTTGGGAAAACAATTTAGTTAACTTACACTTATTTTTTCTCTCATTAATATGAATTGAAAAGTTTATCATCTAACTAACATTATAATAATTTATGTTTATTTAGATTTTATGTTTGTCTATTTATTTGTTTCGTTTGTTTTAATAAATTGTCCCTTTTTAATGTCTCTATGACTTTTTATAGATATTAATTTTAATAATAAATGAATTAGTAATTTATAACTGTTAAAAATGTCACATTTGACTAGAAAAAGATGAGATTGGAACAAAAACAAAAGAAAATTGTAACAGTGTTAAAGCACCTATATAATATATATGAGAGATTATTGTTTAGCTTTAATCTAAGAGATATCCTAAATTCATAAAAAAGAAAGGAAACAAAAATGAAAATGGAATGAATTAAAAATAAATAAATATTAATTTAAGTTTTTACATATCAAAAGTATATATCAGGTACTATTTATATTTTGATGATTAACAATATTTCACACACTCATTTTAAAAAAAATTATTTCCAATCTATCAGTAACTGGTTTAGGAAAATATTATTGTAAAATTATATCATTTAATATCTGAGTAAATACAAAATTATATAATATTATTTTCTGCATAATTAAGAGTGATGATTAAATTAAAAATTTGAATGATGAATAAATAATTAATTTAATTTAGATGTTATAAATATATAATTAATAGTTTTTATGAAATTATTTAATATTTAGTTCTAAAAAAAATAAAAAGACTAAATTACAAATACAACTACTTTTAGTCAATTTCTCTTTCTCATATATATATATATATATATATATATATATATAAGCAAACTTCTCCGTAAATATTTTTGACGAGAGAATAATAAAAATACAAAATAAAAGGAGCTTCTCCAAAAAAAAAATTAAAGTAGATTATGTTTCACAAATTTATTTATTTTTTAATCTATGCGTAAATAATTAATTTTAACTTATAAAAATATTCCTTTCTTTTGTTTGCCCTAAAAATTCTTACAGAAAAAATTGTTTAAACTTCGAACTTCTTTTACTAAATTTTTAATTTTTAGTTTGATACATAACTTAAAAAATGGTTTATTATTATTTAGTGAAATATTTCTTCATCATTTTATAGCATTTCTATATAGTACTTATGGTAACGATGACCATTTTTTTCATCAAATTTTGATAATTATAAATGTTTAAGGCAGTCAATTACCTTTTTTTAAAGAATATTTTTCTTTTTGTATATAATATCATTTATAGCATTTCTTAACCAATATCCAAATTCAGTAATTTTCAAAAAAAAAATTAAAAACATATCATTTAATTTTTTAAGAAATATAAAATATATATTCATTATATTTTCATTAGGGGTGAGATGATTAACTTCAAATAGATATAAATGTATGATTAATAGTATTTAATGTTTGTTTGTATGTAAGATAAGTATGAATGATAACGAATTAGATTGAACATAATAGTATTTATTTGCTATTTGATTTGTATCAAAAATATCAATTTGTTCTTCGTCCTGTTACTTGTTGGATATCCCTTTAAAAAATATTAACAAATATTTTAAAACAAATATTTTATAAATTTTTAAAATAAAATATAATTAAAATTATAAAAAAATTAAATATAATTAAATTAAATATAAATTAAAATATAATTTTAATTAAATTTTATCCAATAAAATATAAATTAATTTAAATTTTAACTAAACTTAATTTAATCAAATATAAATTAAAATTTTATTTTAATTTTCTTTTTGCAGGTAATGAATATTCACATGTACTAATTGTATGATACTTGTACCTTACCCATTTATAAACGGATATTAAAATATCAACTATCCACTACTTACATATAATAAATACTCACGAATATCAATTATCTATTCTGAATGTTACCTACAAATACCCATAGACACCAATATCTTTGTCACTCCTAATAATAACAATGAATATATAACTTTTTAAAAGAATTTTATTAAAATGACATGTTTTTTTTTTTCAATATATCCATTATTTTAAGTAAAAATAATAATATTTACTTTAAGGATAAATTAACAAATAATAGTAATATTTGTTTGAAAGAGAATAATATTTTGAAATAAAATATAATAAAAGGACATATATATATGTATTTGTATTTTTTTCCGATAAGAGTGTAACGTAAATATACTAGTTTATATATGTATGATCGTCTGGTCACTTATTGACCGAGCGAACTAGGATAACAACACACTAAAGCTCGAATCCAGAGACCATTCGACTAAATGTCATGCAAAACTAAACGGTCAAGAACACTTAAAAACTCTTAGTATCACCTATAATCAAGTTTACATATAAAGTATGCTTACTAAGTATTAGGCCATGATTAAGTCTATATTAATCATAAGCTCGTCTCAAAACCTATAAATACAAGTATAAGGTAAAAAGTGATTGCATTTATTGCGAATTTAAGATTTTACTGTGTTTTAACCGAACGATCATTATACCAACGTGAACGTCAGAGTATCTTTGACAGGTACACCCCACACAACTTAAAAATAAAGTATTAAGAACTTGAAAGAACTTTGAAACCCGACAGAAGACGACATTAGGAGACTTGGAAAAAAATGTTCTTAACCCCACACCTGAAATAATATATAAAAATATATTTATATACATCTAATTATTATTAATGTTTAATTAATGCAGAAATCACTAAATTATTAAAAAATTAAAACATTTATCTAAGTTTTAGGTTAATAATTATATACATTAAATTGAATTAATTATTTTATAATATTTGTATAAAATAATATACATTATGTGTGAATACGTGTACCCATATATATATTAACCTTTCACTGGAGAACACTATATGACACGTTGAAAATACTATTAATAAAAGTTGACATCATTTTTTTATACGTTACTATAGTTCCTTTCGTTTATCATAAACAATTTTGATACAAATAAATTTCCTTCAACTTTTTATTACTTGAAATATTATTAATCTGAATATAACATTAATAAAACATAATATATTTTAATTTACTTTTATGTAATGAACTTTTAATGGTGTCACTGGATCATTAGGCTTCATAAAAAGAAAAAGTCAATGAAGGGTGTTTTATTTAAATGTAGGTAAGGTAGTTGGTATTTTTTGAAATATATATTTATTAGATTATCTTAAATTAAAAACATACTTAAATTTCAGAGTATTTTCACAACTAATTAATTCGAGTATTGAAGACAGATAGTTAAAGTCGGATAAGTAAGAGAAACCTAAAGAAAAAAATTTGAGAACGGTAGAATTTAGATGGTACTAAACAATAACATTTTTAGATGACTACTTTCAAAAGTATTATACTTTTATTATCTTTCTAATTTGAATGAATTTTAGATAAATACTTTTATTATTCCCTCTCGTTTGCGGCAGCTCTTCCCCTATCAGTAATATCGCTTCCTCATCTAGTTGTATTTAGGTTAGAAATATAACTATAAATTAAAAGTTTCATATAAATTAAAAATATAAATATTGAGTGATATAAAAAAATAATATTTATAAAAATTAAATTTTAAGATTTTAAGTTAAAAATAATATTAAAATTTTTAAATGAACAATTTATACCTCAAATACAATTAATTCTTTTTAACTTATTTTAATATAAAAGTTTCAAATAAAAAAGTCAACCTAATTCCTAATCAATTTTTGTTCTTTTACAGTGATTGAAAGTCTCAAAATTAATTAGAAATAATAACAATTTAATATACATTAATTATTTTTGTTTTTTTACAATAATTTAACAAATTAAACATTTTACATTAATTACATTAATTAGAAATAATATCAATTTAATATATATATATATTATATTACAATTATAATATTTACGTTAAACTTAAATTTTGTTTTTTAATGATATTGAAATCATAAATTATTATTTATTTTAAAAAACTTATATATTTGTTCAATTTATTATTTCATCTATAAAAAAATATTAAAATTTATATATTAATTAAAAATAGAATTAATTTAGAATATATATACATGAACGTAAATATCAGATATTGAAAAATATTCTTTAACACATTTTAAATTTTTTATATTCATTTGATATTTTCTTTTCTTATCTTTTACTCTTTTTTTCTTTGAAAACATACAAAAGTTTATATATTTATAACCATTTTATCCTTATATTTTATATCAAATGAATGTAAAAGTGTGTTATATTACCATTAATTTTAGATATTTCAAATGTGACCCACTTCTGAAAATCCATAACTTTACTTTTATGCAAACAAATATTTTAGGCTTAAATGCTTACTTCGTACTCATGTTAAGAGATAATTTTCAGTTTAGTATCCGGTTTTAAAAATGAAGATGTTGGGTTCCTATGTTACGAAAATTGTATGAATAAGGTGTTGTTCGTTAAGTTGACAGCAACAGCGTTAACTCCATGCTTATGTGGACTTTTTCTCTTCTCTCCTATGTTGTCCAGCTTTTTCTCTCCACTCCAGCTTTTTCTCTTTGTTCCATATTAATGGTTTTCAATTTCATTTTTTAAAAGTAGGTACTTAGGTTACTTTCTCCTCAATTAATTTTTTAATTTTAGATAAATAAGATACAACTAAATAGAATAAATAAATTACCTAATTGAAAAAATCTTAAATAAAAAATAAAATAGTTCTATATAGGTGAAAAATAACAATATTTCGATTTTAATTTTTTTTAGAAAACATTATGACGATTAATTTGTCAGTTTTAAAATTTTGAATTTCGTTATATTTTTCTATAAAGGTTGCCGTAAAAGGTTGAGAGAAAGATGTGTAGACAATATTTCGATTTTAAATTTCTTGAAATAACATTATGAGAGTTAATTCAGTTTTGAAATTTAGAATTTTGGTTATGTTTGTTTTTGAAAAAAATCTTAAAGAATTTTAAGAAAAAAAAATGTGAATTTAAATTATCTTTGACATCAAATTGTAAACATCTTGTTTTTTAAAAATAAATTTGTAATGAAGTTTTGAATTAAAAAAAAAATCCTCGTATACGAATATCTCAAATTGTGAAAGCATTCAATATTAGAATATATATATGGGTTAAATATGTTTTTCGTCCCTTAAGTATCACACGATTTTGGTTTTAGTCCTACTCAAACTTTGATGGTTTTTAGTTCTCCAAGTTTTAGATATGGCAAACGACGATGTCAGGTTTGATGTCAGCTGTCGTGCCACGTTGATTGTTTCATTTTTCAAGTTGAATCTAACTTCGTTTTCTACATCACCAGAAGCTTCACGTTTTTTTCCCTCGCCCTCCACGCCCTCAAGCAGCACCGTGGCCAGGAAGGTCCATTTTTCACTTTGAGTTGATCGCCAGAGGAACGTGTACAAAAAAGTCTGCTTATTTTTTCCCCTTTCATTTGTAAAGTTTTGGATTCTTGAGATTGTTTTGATCCTTTTTTACGATTTGCAGCAATTACAAGAACCTGGGAACATATGATGTTTTTGTTAGTTGTTCCCTTTTCTCTTGTGTATTTCTTTCTTTCTCATTGTCCCTGTATAATAAAAATAAAATTTGTAAATTATATGAGGGGCTGTTTTTCTTCTTCACCAAACATGTACAAACTACTGATGATTTTGCAGAAGTTAATGGCCTTTTCTTTAAATTGGATTTTACTGTAAAATTAAGGCGACATCTAAAGAAAAACTATTTTAATTTAACTCAAAAGTAGTGGGAAACATAAATGTTGTATTCAATGGTAGACCTCGTTTTTGGATCAAGAAAAATGGTATTAGTCTCTGCATATCCCGTGGCAAATCTGAACACTCCAGTGCCTCCAATTACCGGAATCTCCCTGATGTTTTGGGTGATGCGGTTCCTCCCCAACACAGTGATGGTACTCCCATTGTACTTCCCTTCGGTTAACACGAAGTTCAGAACCACCAACAAGATAAACTCCCTCTGCAACGTTCCTGCAACCAAACCCTCGATTCTTCCCACCACCTTCGAGGTTGGCTCCGGTCCTCCTTCTCCAAACTTCATAGCTTCATCAAAATTGTTGGTTGCCTCTTTGAGCTCGTTGAAGGAGAAAACAAAGATCCCAAAGTAGACACCTCCACTTTCCATGGACGTTGTATTTCTGAAGGAAGAAGAATAAACGTTTCGTGATTTGTTTTGGAGGCCTGAACGTTTCTTTCTTCCTTTCAACAACAAAAGAATAACACCAACCAAGGCAAAAACCTCAACCAGGACCGGTATTCCAACACATAACGCTACAGAAAAAGGGTGTTTATGGTTTGCACGACAGTTGGCATCAAACCTGGCATCGCCGTTTGTCACGTATATTAAAACTTAACGCCATCCATTTTTAAGGACTAATACTAAGAGTTTCAAAACTTCGAGAACTAAAAACCATCAAAGTTTTGAGTAGGGACTAAAACCAAAATCGTATGATGCTTAAGGGACGAAAAACATATTTAACCCTATATATATATATATATATACACACATTTATTGCCTTTAATTTTATGCAACAGTAAAACAATTTCTTCTAAATACTCAAAATATATTTTATTAAAAGCTAGCTTTAAATTTGATATGAAAATATTATTTAAGGGTGTTTACTTCTTTGATTATATTTATCAATGGTTTTATATTTCTATTTTACTATATCAGCTACCATGCCGTAGCTGTCAGCTAAGTTTCCTACAGTTTTATATAATTGAGATATTTCATAGTTTTTCCTCTTTTAGTTAAATTTTTAGTTGAATTATATTTTCCAAACATGATTTATATATATAAAGACTAAACTATTTACGTCCTTTAATTATATTTGGTCTATTAATTTAAAAAAATAACAATTTACTATTTTTGTAGTTTTAAAAACTTCAAATACTTTTTTATTAATCTAAATATATAAGCGAGAGAAATTTCAACTGGACTGGAGAGAGAAAAAGCTGAACAGGAGAGATAAAAAGCTCGACTGCAAAGGAAAGAAAGAAAAAGTATACCACATCAGCATGGAGATCTAATGTCTCCATTTTTAAAACTGAGTATTAAACTGAAAATTATCTCTTAATACGATGACAAAGTAAGCATTTAACTTAATATTTTATTTCACCGAGATCACAAAAGTCATAATATACTTTTAAATAAATATAATAAAATAACAACCTTTATGATGTCCCATGTCCACATAAAATTGTTGCATGATAATAAAAAGCTTTGATTATATACTTTAATATTATCAAATACCTTATGATTTCACATAAATTATTATGTGGAATTTTTGTTGACTAACAATTACAAATACATCAATATCTGAATAAAGACATTAAGAGTGCACAATTATTTTTTTTCAAGTTCGAAATCAGCCCTTATTTAGATATTTTTTAAATGTTAAGTTAAATTTAGATGAAATATATTTGTTAGTGGAATTCTAGAATCTATTGTTGATAATATTTTTTAAATATTTATAATATTATATTAATAGATGATAATACTATAATTTGATTATAAGTAAAGCATAAAATACATTGTGTATCATTAAATTATGATTTTCCAAATTCAATTAATTTGATACAAACGAAAAAAAAACATGAAAAAAAGTGAACACGCATAACTATATAAAATAACAAATTTATATACAAAAAGAGATTACAAATTTGTAGAGCTATGACAACATAAAATAGGATTTTGTGGATTTTTCCATATTTAATATGGAAAGTAACATCATCTCTGTGTATGCATGTATTTTGAACTGCCATTGTAGGTTTTAATTTTCATAATCTTTTATATAATTTTTAGTAGTCCTAGCTAATGGTATTTTTTAAATAAAATTAAATAAATAACTATATTGTATTAAAAACATGAGAAGATATTAACAATATAAGAAAAATAAATATTTGATTGAAAATTAATAAAAGTATAAATTTCATTAATTTGAATTTTAAAATGTAACATCTCAATTTTTTATAGCATTCAATTACAATAGGATTTATCACACCTTTAATATTAAAAAAACCGTCAACTTAAAGAAAACTTATAAGTTGTTAATACATATATCCATAAATAACTTATAATAACAAGATATACAAGATTTTACAAAACTATAAGACATTATATTGAATCAAAAGTGTAATAGGTCTCCCAAAAAGATAAAACTAAAACACAACATCTACTTTATGCCTCAATTCAATCTTCTCCTGGCATATGCTCACTAGAGACATCCCCTAAGCTCATGCTATCAAGGTAATTATTGCAAAAAAAAAAACTGAAAAACAAACACAAAGAATAAAGAGTATAAACTATTGTAGCAAAAGAACATTTATACAATTTAGTTTAAAATATACATAATAATTACATCCTTAATTCAAACAAGAAATTAAATAGGTTTATAACATCAGACTTGACCATCCAGATATGTGCATTGATGTCAGACTATGACAAGTTGTACACTTGTAACGGTGGAACAACTTTCCCCCTAAACTACAATACAAGATTAGTCTGTTTACTACCTATGTACTACCTATGGTCAAAGAACCTTCTGCTACTCTTCACTACATAATCTCCTTCTTTACTTTAGATGGAATGATTATTAGAGTATCATGATAATTTTCAAGACTGACTCCCTACATCAATACATCACACTACTAAACTCCACCCTAGGAGCTACCCATTAACTATTGAAATACCAACATGAAGTCTCATCACGAGGTCCATGAAATCACGTCAATCATCGATATCATACCATCATATTTGTCAACCACAAACATACACATAAACATGTTCACAAACCATAAATATCCATTTATTCAAATCAATTAAGTATAACATTTATAAACTAACTCACCCAAATAAGGAATCTAAAGCAAAGAAAACATATAAGAATTTAAAAGAAAGCGTCCAACAATTCTTTTTTTAGGATAATCAATTATCTCAACTGATAGTCGATTATTCCAAAACGTTTTGAATATAATATAAAATTTTGATTGAAATAGTGGATTATCAAGTAAGATAATAAATTATTTCTGCCATTTTTTTATAAAACCTGATTTTTCTTATTTGCACCTAAGACCTATTCAAATGACTAAAATGATATCCTTGACACTAGAAATGATTTAAGAACATGCTTATATCCAAATTTGAATATCATTTTGTTCTTTTGATTATAAATTAGGTGCAACCAACACTTTAAAAGCTCTCATACCATATTTTACCCATTCACTAGTACAACAATTCTCATCAATCATAGTTCACCAAAATCAGTAGCATTCAACAAGTAATCATAACAATGTCTCACCATACCAACTACAAATTTCACACCATTTTAAACATATAACACCAATTAAAAACATCACAATAACTTTAAAATGTGGTAGTTAACTTCCTTTACCGTATAAAGGACCAAACTACTCTACAAGACCTAAGATGACTCCACCAACTCAAGGAATTTTATTTGCATCTACAACTCACAAAAACATGATCAAGATATATCGTTAGAACCGCTGATCAACAAAGAGTCTTATAGAGGTCTCAAATGATACATGCAAAAACACTACAACTGGCATGCAAAGGAAACTGGACAGATTAAAGAAAAAAGTAGAAGCTAACTTACTCTTTTGAAAAAATTGATCGAATAGATTTGAATATCTCACCGTTGTAATTAGACGGTCTCTGATCTTCAAATAGATTAACACAAAAGAACTTTTACAGAGAAGTCACACAACTCTGGAAAAATGATTTCTAGAAAGATTATGTGTTTTAAAATAATGAAACTCATTTATAACAAACTATTTATATTAAAATCATTTAGTATTAAAATAATTGAGTCTCACTATTTTTAAACTACTATCACTTCTAAAATATCATTTTCTAGATTTTTACATAAAGAAAAAAAAAATTAACCCATAACATTATATGTATTTTTAATTTGAAATTATAGTAAATTGTAACTATTTCTAATACTTACACTTTCAGGCTTTATGATTTTTAATAAAATCTCTATAAAATTATTATACTATATTTGTCCCCCAATTTGCGAAAGTAAACATTTTTAATCTATTGATAAAATATTTTTCAGATTCACACAAAATATTAGCATCTTCATAAATAATAAAAATGTTAGTTATTTATTTACGTAAAACCTTAACAATCTTATTAATTATAAGTTTCAATATTATTATCAAGTAGTTTCAATATTTTGTGTTAATATTTAAATAATATATTTATGTTAAACTAAAATTGTTTAATTTTGAACATTTTAAAAACTAAATGCTTTATTAAAATTTTATAACACCCCCAAAAGATAAAATTTGGTCTTCAATTTAAATAATAGATTAATATAAAAGATACATGCGACTTCTCATATAAAAAATAATTATATATATATATATATATATATATATATATATATACACACACACACACACACACGTATATATATTACCTAAGTTTTTATTTATCTTCAGCTTACATACAGTAATAAAGAAAGCTAAACTTCTAAGTACATTTAATAAATCCAATTATCCATGCATGCTACATAAAGAAGGGTAGGTTCAATCCTGAACTCGTTGAAATGGAGAAAAACCATCTGAGACAAATGTATTCTTGGCTTTTAGCGTCCCAGAAAAGATTAGACCTTGAGAGAGACACTTATTTAAGGATTAAAAAAACTAATTAAAAAAGTAACGATATAAACATTTGATTACTATTTACTATACTTTTTTTTCTTCCCTCTTTGTCTTCACGTGTTTAATAGACTGATCAGTATTTTCCCAAAAAGGGTACCTAAACAGACAAAATAACTGTCCCTCTATTTATGTTCACATTCCACCCTTTGACCTTTGCAATGACTTCAAATTACCAGGAAAAGCCTTAGAGACTGTTAGTTACAAAATAACTTAGCGAGGGCATTTATAGAATAAACTAGTACGATTGTCGAGGATGTTTGTCCTGGTGGCAGCTTATGAAATAACATGTTTGTCCTTAGTTATCTGTCTCCAAACGTTTATATATATATACGTAAAAGTAAGACAACTCAACACTACAATCTGGTTCTCCCTTTTGTGTTCTTCTCTGGAAACACGGGAGAAGAACAAGATGCAAAAGAGAACCACGAGACACAAAGCATTCGGAGATTGGCATAGATAACACGTTGCATGTCGAGAATAAAGCCGGATTCAATCGTCCTTTTGTATTCTTTCTTGGGTTTTTAGAAAGGGTTAATTGTTTCCTCTGATGGGAAATTTCTGTGCTCGGTGCAAGATTGATGGCAATTTGAATCCACACCCATGTTCTGGTAGCATTTTTTCCTTATGCATTTGCATAAGGAAATCGATCATTTTCGCATTTTCCATAATTAATTATCCCTGTTTTAGGAGCGTATATGTAGGGGGGGTATGTTTTCTTTTGGTTCTCTCGTATAACTTCTTGATGGATTTTTGAAGAAAAACAAAATGGTTGTGGATTTGATAATTTGTTTTGTTAATTGTTCATCGTGATCATGCACGGATTTTTATTTTATTTTTAAAAAAAATGACGCTTCCCGTGAAATAGAACATAATGTAATTAGATTGCACACCCATCGGAATTGTTTTATTCATTGTACTTGACCAGCACCTCTTTATTGGATTTCTCATGCTTAAGAGATTTGGCTCAATTTATAGAGTCATAATGGATACCACTGACGAACTAATTAATTTGCATTGAATCCTCATCTTCTTTGTTTTTTTAGACAATACCGAATGCTAAAGGAAACCATCCAACAAGAACTGAGAATATTCTGTGACCAATCTAGGGTTCTTTATTAATCATACCACACAGCTGGTCATCCAAATCATATATAGTGGCATGAAATAATCCCAGTTTATTTATATACGACATATTAATGAAAAATATACCAGAAAGAATACATGGTTAAGGATTCAACCTCACTTTCTGCATTACTTTCTCAACTGTAGGGGGTCCTTATTGGAGTATGCTTATTGTAACCAACTCCTGCAAGTGTATTTTCTGTGTCTATATTGTTTACATAAAACAGACACAAGTACATACAGTTTGAATTAATTGTAAATGTTCTTTATCATAGGAAGTATGTAGGTTGGACTAACTAGTGATGGTAATCTTGGGAGAACAAGAGCACTTGCAATCCCCTTCTCCCCGTTTGTTTTATGCTTACAAACTTTCTTTTAGATTCTTGGAATATGTGAAGAGAACTTTATTTTATTTTTTTTATAAATACGCTTAAAAAAATAAAATAATTTTTTTTAAAAACTAAGCCAAATTTTGAAGAAGCTAATAGAAAATAACTTTCATAAACTAACCTACACATAAATTAAGTCCAGTTTATAAACCATGTGATTTTAAGTTTTTCCTAAGAAACCCTAATTATTTATGCATCTCAGTCATAAACTTTGTGCAGATGTTTGTTTTTCAAATACTGTTTTTTCTGCTACAAATAAATTGTTGGCTTTCACTGAGATGAAAATTATTTTTCAAATGTTACAGAAGTTCCCAATAGAAGCACCCAGTTGTTTGTTCATTCAAATCCAAACGGGTATGGATACATTGATGGAGGGAAACCTGAGATTCTCCCTACTCCAAGATCTGAAGGGGACATACTTTCATCCCCACATTTAAAACCCTTCACATTATATGATCTTAAGAAGGCCACAGGAAATTTTCAGCCTTATAATCTTATTGGAGAAGGAGGATTCGGAAATGTTTATAAGGGGAGAATTAACGAAACTAAATCCCACGGGGGTACAATTTCTGGATCTGGAAGAGATGTAGCCGTTAAGAAGCTTAAGCCTGAAGGCTTTCAAGGGCACAAGGAGTGGCTGGTAGGTTACTTCCACAGGCCTTTAACCCTACTGCTTTTGTTTTATATGGATCATAGTCCATTATAGTTCTCTTTGTTTGCAGTCTGAAGTGAATCATCTTGGCCAACTTCACCACCAGAATCTCGTCAAACTTATTGGATACTGCCTGGAAGGAGATAACCGACTTCTAGTGTACGAGTACATGCCCAACGGATGCTTGGAAGATCATATATTTCGCAGTATGTTTATGCCCTTAGTAACTTAAACTTTAAGTTTTAGAAAGTAAAACACTTCAAACTTGTTTGTGCTATGATTTAACAATTTTGTAAATCAAGAAATCCAAACCTTTCTTAAGAACTGTGCCACTGTGTTCCATTTGATCAATCATGGAACTGTAAATTGCAGAGGGCACACAACCACTTCCCTGGGCTACAAGAATCAAGATTGCCACAGGTGCTGCTCGAGGTCTTTCCTTCCTACATGACTCTAAGCAACAAATTATCTACCGTGATTTCAAGGCTTCTAACATTTTGATAGATTCGGTATGTTGGTTAAAAGCTTGCATTACTATGTTAATGTGCACATTTTAGGAGAGTGCTTGCAAATAATGTATCACCTTTAGCCATCTTTATTTCCTATCTATTATATTGTTTTCCTTCTCTATTTTTTCTGGGATTTTTAAATAGAACACACTCTTCCAATTTGAAATACTGATTCGAAGTACATTTTAACTTCAGTATCCTCGTGGTGGTAGCTCTTTTTAACTTAAAAACGTGTTCACACAAATTCAGGAATTTAATGCAAAACTGTCGGACTTTGGATTGGCCAAAGCAGGGCCCACTGGTGATCATTCTTATGTTTCCACCCAAGTTCTGGGCACTCACGGCTATGCTGCTCCTGAATATATTGCTACAGGTTTGTGTTTTTTCTTAAATATATTTTCAAGCTTTTTGGCTCATAAAAGAAAATGATGTTCTGTCACCTTTCTAATTTTTAAACCTTTTAGATTTTTTTATGTTGGATATTTCACATCATGTACAACTAAGTGAGATATGAATATTCAAGGTAATGTTAATGATAGACAAACCAACTTAATAAAATTCTGAACATCTAGAATCTACCATAAATTTCAACACTTGAATTAATGTGACTCGTTATTATGATAAACTTTATTTTCTATGTGGATAATGGATTATTTCCTAGGCCATTCTCCTTTTATATTCACAAGTTAGGTTGGTTTTGTTCAGAAAAAAAAAATTATATACAGTCCCTTCAACCTTAGAATATAAAAAAAAAAATACTTACAATACTTTAATCTTAATGTTTTAAATCTAAACAATAATGTAGTATATTTCTCTTATCTAACTAATATTTTAAAATTGGAACATAAGAAAAATTATTATAAGAAATAATTCAAATTTTACAAATATTTAGAAATATATTCTTAACACTACTCTTTTAAATTTTATTTCATCGTATATTTGAATTTCAAATTTAAAATCTGATTCTCCCCCTTCGATTATTGTTTTATTTTTTCTTATAATTCTTATCATTTTTATTTATTTTATAAAACCTTATACATTTATTCATTTTCACATCGAGTTTCTTTAAGATATATGCATCTTTATGCTATTCTTTTAATTTAATTTTTTTTATATCTTTTTAATTTGTAGTCACCTCCTTTTCCATCAATTTGAGAATAAATATTACTTTTGATTTGTATTTTGAACACTTTTGAGTTGTTTAAATTATTATCTTCATAAATTTTATGTTCAGAAAACACCTTATATATCTCATCAAACACTTTCTTAACCTGTAAATATATGAAACAATAAGAATTAATTTGAAGTTAAGTGATTTTCAATTTCAATATTTTTCAAAATGTTTTATTTCTCATTCTTACTTCACAATTATATACAAGTCAACCTTTTATAACTTTTATAAATTTTGTTGGGTGTAAAATATGATATTTTACAAAGAAAAAGTTGTTACAACCTCAACACCTTCTTGTTGATATTGAGATTTACATGTTTTTTCACATTCCCCAATCACAATTGTGATTTCCATCAACTCTTGATAGAAACTTGTATGTTATAACACCAACAAATTCATATAATTCATGTCATAATTACACTTGTGGCATTTTACATTTGTTTCCATCAAATATTTATAGAAGAATGATGTATTAACACTTTTAACAAGTTCAAATAAACCGTTGACACATTATTTTCTGCTCCCTCATTTCTTTTGTTTTTGGTTTTTTTTCTTATTACCATTATTCTTAAAATGAAGTTATCATTTTGTTGTTTAGATCATCAAAAGATTATGTTTTCCACTTGTTATATGGGAGATTATTTTTCTTGCCATATAGGAACAATGAAAAAAGACACACATATAATATTATATATTTTGATTAAATTTGTTATCCTTGTAGTTTTTTACTTGCAAACCTATCTCTACAAATATTTGTTAACCTTGTAAGCCTCATTTGCTCTTGTGCTTAATAAGATGCATTCAACAACTTTATTAGAGTAATGCATGATAAATTCCTAGACATAGACTTGTAGTTTCAAATTTTTGAGGTACTATCTATGATTTAAATTTTTGAACAATTTTGTAATCTCAAAGTTTAGTGTTTACATTGTTAAATAAGGTTGAGTTAAGTCTATATTTTCACTGACTAACATAACATGATATTATATTTATTCAAAATCTATTTTAGTTGAGATTTAAATCTATCAAATCCTCTAGATTTTCAAGCACATATTATAATTAAATTTAAACCTAATATATATAAAGGGGTATTGGATTCCATTTCAAATTCTCATATCAAATTCATTATTTGCATTTCTTTCAATTTTTCATTTCATTAGTACTCTTACTTCAAAATCTCTAAAACCTTTTGTGTATTAAATAGTTTTCTTAGTGTTATTATGTTATTTATTTCCCTTGTACGTATACAAAACATGCGAAAATGTATGCAATTTACATTGTATTAATACACATATATCATTCGATTATACTACAACTATTTTTTTTTTCATTTATTTTTGTTGTATATTTTTCTTGTGATAGTTGCAAACCTAACATTTACAATTATTCATGATGGATCTAGAGTCTCCCGATGCAGCATCACTATTGGGTCTTCCAAGCATCGGATAATTTTCAAACAACTTCTATAACTTTACTACTCTAGTCTGCATTATTCATGAGTTCTAACCCTATCCTGAGATATTGATCTACTAATTTACGCATTGGTTCGTACGGAAGGGTTTAGTTTCCTAATTGAGATATCTTAACAACAATGCGTTTTTTCTTTGATCTCAGGTCGGTTGACATCAAGGTGTGATGTGTATAGCTTTGGGGTTGTGCTATTGGAACTACTATCAGGGCGCCATGCTATTGATAACACAAAATCTGGAGTGGAACGTAATCTGGTAGAATGGGCAAGACCCTATTTGGGTGAAAGGAGGAAGTTGTTCCGGATTATGGATACCAGGTTAGAAGGGCAATACCCGCAGAAGGCAGCTTATACAGTTGCAATAATTGCGTTACAGTGTATTTCTGATGCCAAGACTAGGCCACAAATGTCTGAGGTTTTGTCTGCCTTGGAACACTTACCAGCCACTAGACGTTCAGCTAGCCCCACAGAAACCCATACATAATAATACCCGTCAGAGAGGCTCTATTCCCTTTCTGACATAATCATCAGTAAAATAGAGAGTTGTGGAGAGAAAATAAGTTGGTATGTTGTCTCTTCTTCTGCTTTCATGGTTACTGTTAATTAGGTGATGGCCCCCCTGAGTGGGTTAGTGAGTGACTCATTCCATCATATATATGACAGCATTCTTGCAACAAGAATTTGAGTTTAGTTGTTTTCTAAAATATTTCTCATATTTCCGCATAAAATGACATAGGAAAAAAAAAATCGTGGTATATCACATTCCACATTCAAAGACCATCACCCTACCATAAAAAAAAAAAGGAAGGAAATTAAACCTGAACCTTAGAAATATATTCAAATTTAAGTAAATGTATGAATAACTAATATATATTCATTATTCGCTTAAGGCAATTACATGTATTGCATTGCAGCCTAGTCGATAAAGCTATGTGTAAATTCTAAAATCCACTTAGCTAGCTGTGAATCTGTAAAACATGATGTGCTCGTAAGTCTCCCCAGGCTTCACAATCTGTGTTGGAAAGTAAGGGTGATTCACAGAATCTGGGAAACCCTGTGTCTCCAAGGCAATGCCAGCAAACTTGTGGTATATGGCCCCATCCTTGCCTTTGGTACCCTTTAACTGGCCACTAGTATAAAACTGCATACCAAGTTGGTTTGACCACAACTCCATTTTCCTCCCAGAGACTGGGTCCCTCACTACCGCAGCCTTGGTTAACTGATTTTGGAAACTTTTGTCCAGCACGTAGTTCATATCATATAGATCCGGAAGCTTACGAATGTGGGTTACAACTTTTTTTGGTTCAAGAAAATCATAGGGGGTGCCCTTTACAGATCTGATTTCGCCAGTGGGAATAAGAAGCTTGTCCACGGGTGTGATGTGTGAACCAAAGATCTGAACATGATGAGAAAGAATGTTACCACTGTTGTGTCCCCCAAGGTTCCAGTAAGTATGTTGGGCAAGATTCACTGGTGTGGCTTTGTCCACGGACTTGGCAATCATTTTCACAATCAGTTTGTTTGCTCCAACGAGCTTGTAAGTCACTTTGACTTTGAGTTTTCCAGGAAAGCCTAACAAATTTAACCCAAAATATGTTTACCTCTAATTTTCTTAAGAATATAAGTTTCAAAAACTACCTTGATCGTTTTCAGGACTGTCGTAGGTAAATGTTACATGGCTGTGTTTTTTGTGAGATTCCAGTGTCCATATAACGTCACTCAAACCTCTTGTGCCACCTGACTCATAGGATAGATAATAGCAATTAAGTATAAAATATGAGTTGAAATGGAAAGTATTAGTATTGATATAGACCGTGAAGTGTGTTTCCGTGATCATTTGCGGGTAAGTGGTAGGTTTTGTCATTCAAAGTGAATTTAGCACCTCCAATCCTATTGGCCACCCGTCCAATCACTGCCCCGAAATAAGTTGTGTCATTCTACAACAAATTTCAACATCATAAGTTTCACAAATCTCCAATATATAATATTTTCTAATCACACTTCAGTAAACAAACAACAACATTATTATACATTTTATAAAGAGTTATCTCAATATTTCATTATCTCCAAAATAAAATACAATAACACGAAATGTAGACACTGTTCAACTTTTTTTTTAATCAGACCTTAAATCGGAAAAACTATTGAATTAATCAGACACTATATAGAACAAATCAAAATTGAACCACAAACAAAGAAAAAGAGAAAGAGACAAAAATCATTAATTTCTTAACTTGAGGTATCTCTGAAAATCAGAGAGAATCTTGTTTTTTTTTTCTTTTTCTTTTTCAATTAGCTAGTTGAACCAGAATTAATCCTACCTTATAAGAATCAATAGAATCATAACCAAGAACAATATCAGCTAGTTTTCCTGCGAAGAAAGTCATAAAACATGTTACATGTAACATAAAAAGAAATCAATAATTACGAATGTTGGGAGAAGACAATACAAACCGTGTTTATCAGGGGTTACCACAGACACAATTGTAGCACCATAATTTGTCAAATTGAGTTTGAAATTTGCTCTCTCCAGTTCATAAAACCCAATTTTCCTATGATTGTCAAGAGCCTGAACAAGGATCAAAATCTCCAACAGAAAAGATAACAACAACACCACCTTAGTCATGGTTCAATGGATCTAGTATTATCCTGTAAATTATGACCCCTAACTTAAGATTTATATATATGGAGGGAGTGAAACTTTTCTATTAAAAGAAAAGATAAGTACAAATTTCATTTAAGGTATTAATTAAATAATTTTAAATTTACATTATGATACATATTAAATATTAGTAATGAGTTGTTCGGTTTCTCAAAAATAGTCTTATTTGTCACGGAATTTCCTATCACTTTATTTTAGAAAAAGTCAATTAAACTCATAATGATTAAAATAACTAGTTATTAAATTAATAGGATTAAATTGATTTAATTAATAATATTAAAATTATTATAATTTTATATTTTAAAAATGCCTTTAACATAAATTAGATGAGATATTGGCTTTTTTCTAAATATTAATACTTTTAATCTGTTTATTTAGTAACATGCATATTCATTAATGGTAATAAAAAAAATATTTAAGATGTTTTCTTTAATCTTTATAAGGTTAAATTTTGAAAGAGTTAAATACATTAATATATTTTAAACACATTGTACAGTATTAAAAGGTATCTTAGAAACTAAAAAATGTTAAGAAAGATGGAAAAGAACATTTGTTTTATGGTATTTAAACAATGATAAGACAGAAGACAATAAACGAAATAGTTACAAAATAAAAAGTGTAAGAAAAAAGAAAAAAAATTATATATAAATGAATATGTTTTTAATTGACTATTACAATTTAAATTAATTAAGTTTCAAATTGATATTTATTAAATGTTATGGTTTCAAATGGTATATTTTTTCATTAATTTTTTATCCGACTAATTTTTTCCATTAACCATTGTGGTTGTTATTTTATATTGCCATTTTTTTATTTGTCTTCATTTATTAGAAAATGAGAAGTTTTGTAATAATATAAAATGATATCCTATCAAGTGTAAAATGATAATAATTTTTTTATTGCTGTCATTGAAAACATATTGGATATTAAGAACGAAATGGTTGTGAAAAAAAAATTCTTAATTGTTTTAGATTATTAGTGGAAATTATTAAGAAATATGATAATCTCATTGTTCAATATATTTTTAATGAGAACAATAAAAATAACGTGTCCTTTTACATTAATTGTAATATTCTTTTTATATTAGTCTCACAAAATCTAATATTTCTTAACATACGAGTATAAGTAAGAAAGATTAGAAATATAACTACCCCATTATTTTGATAACGAGCAAACTAAATGACATAGACTTCGTTGAAAAATAAATAAATTTTGAGTAATTAATAAGTAAATAAAAGGTAAAAAGGATTCAATTGAAAATATTCAAATTTATTCAATTTTAAAATTTAATTAAGCTCGTAATTTATTAATTTACATATAAAAATAATAGGAATTTATTGAGTTTTAAACTTCCATTTGATCTAAAGTATAGGTTTCATGATGTTAAGAGCTTTAACATTCAATTATGTCAACTACATTTAATAATAAATTTAATAATAAGTACTATATCATGTCTACACAAGAGTAAAAACAATATTTTCAAATAAGTTTCCATAATATTAGAAGGAAAATTTAAATAGTGTCATAATAAAAGTAAAAGGTAACCATATAGATATTGAGATAATGTGTCAATATTAAAGATTAATTACATATATATTGTAAAAACATGAAATTATAAGGACTACATCAAATTTTGTTCATTGTTAAATAAAAATATGAAACTCATACTGGATTAAATCTCTTATATATAAAGGTTTATTAAATATAATAGATTAAATTGTATTTATGCTCAAAAAATAAATAATACCATTAGTTATTTGTGCTTTCTTAAATTATAATTAAGATTTTAAATATTTTGTTTGTCTAACTTTATTTGTGAGATTTATAAGTTTGATTTTACTTAAAAGTTTCTTATTACTTGAAAATTAAAATAAAAAATATTTATTTTAATTTCTCAAAGCATATATTTTTTAATATAATTTTACAAAAAACTTATTAAATACGAAATTAATATAATAATTATATATATAAATATATATATATATATATATATATATATATATATATATATTTTAAAGAAAAAATTAATTTTAATTAATCATATTTATATTAAACACCATTATTATAAATTATTTATATTTAAATTGACAAAATTTAGTATATTAAGTTATTATTCAAAAAAAATTAGAATTAAACTAAAATGCATTTTGATAATATTGAAAAGAAAAAAGTCTATTCAATACAAGGAAAAATTAAGAAATTATAATATTTTTATATTCATCAAGTAGGTTTCAAATATTTGATGCTTTGTTTAAATTTTTTATATTCTATTTCGTTGTATCTAGTGTCAACAAAAATCACAAATGGATAAAAGTATGTGATTATTTACATTTGTTTATTGACTAAGGTCCGACATCTTTGTTCCCAACTCTTCGATCTTTTCTATTGATTCTGCCACGTTCACTGCTTAGCTGCTTCCTTTTCTTTCAGGATCGTCCGACTTACTTGGTTGAGGTAATCATACAATACAAGAAGTAACAATTATTAGTAAACAAAATAATTAAAAACTATAAAGTACTTATGGTATAATATTTATTTTGTATTATTGTCTAAAATTAACGTGACAAACTTGAAGTAATTTAAGAAATAGAATCTCTTAAGAAAATATAATTATCTTTCAAAATAAAAATCATTAAAAAATCTAATAAGTATATAATAAAGATATTCGAATAAGAAATGTGACAATAAAATAGTTTTCTATACATTCATTTTAATATTTTTGTTAGTAAAAAAGTAATAACTTTTACAAGTTTTTTTATTATTTAATGACTTTTTCTTTTATTATACATCTACAAATAAAAACATTTTAATAAACTTAAAAAAAATATTAAAAATAGTGTAGAGGCAATATTTTTTTAGTAATAATAAAATTACATAACTCAAACCAAGTTTTTAATATTACTATAAATTTGTTAGTTTTTACGCTTAGAAAGAAAAACAAAATTTATATTTAAATGACCGATAGGCGCTGAAATTGGAACAACTTCTCTTCAAAATCTTTAAAATTTATATTTAAAGTTCCTTTGTTGTTTTTGTCCGTTTCTTGTTTTACTTATTCTTGCTATGGAATGCTCACGTTCAGCCCATTAATGGTTGGAAAGTAGTTTTCTGACTTTCTAATAGTTGGTTCTGATTAAATTCTGATAAAAGGAAAAACATTTAAATTAATTCTTATATAAATTATTAAGTGAACTTCGAATTTACTTCGCATTAAAAGGAAATTATTATCTTACCAACTTCGGTAAATATGATTATATTTTATATTCCGGTTTTTAGAATTATATTTTTATATTATTTAGTATGTTCTTAAAAAGTTTACAAAGCTCTTAATATTAATATTAAAATTTAATAAAATAGTTTATTAGACTAGTTAAAATTTATAAGAAAATAATTATATTAGCTTCACTAAATAAATATACTATACATATACAATAATGTATTACTTCCCTAATATATATCATCTAATAACTACGGATTCATTACATTTCAATTCTTTTCATAACATATTTACTAATCAAAACAATTATTTTATACAACGTAACTATTTGAAATTATAAGATTAAATAATTAAAATTAGAAAGTGAGTTTTTAAGCCTAACTCAACCCCACAAAACCGGCTTACAAACACTAAACTGAAGTTTTAAACTTAATTTTCAACGATAACATCAGGAAACAGAAAACTACAACAAGCTGAATGCAATATCATTGAATTAAGCTCCAACAATTTTGGTGGGTTCCTCTACAATTATTTCATCAGCAGGTCTCTCTACCTTTGTGCCAACATCTTCTGAGTAATCACCATGAACCTCCATCAGTTTCCCAAGATCAAACTTAGGAGCTTTAAGAATCTTGACTTTTCGGACAAACACATTCTGCAGAGGATAAATGCTAGACGTCGCCTTCTCAATTTCTTTTCCAATAATCTCAAGAATAAACTTTCGGACCAACTCCTTCAAATCACAGGATGTTGCCTGGTTGGTCATGATCTCTCTCATCTTCCTACGTATTTGTCTAATCTGGCTTGATTGGGCATAACAGGTTCTCTTCACCTGGTTAGCTCTTCTCTTGGTGAATCCAATACAAAACATCCTCAATGTGTAACTATCAGTTGTCTTCACATCCACATGGGCTTTAATAAGTGTTCACCATTTTCGAACCAAAGACCTTAGTTTGTCTGTGGTGAAATCCATTCCCTAGAAATTTGTCAGGACATTCTTCCCTTGAATATCTTCAACTCTCAGCCCTATCTTCCTAAATGCATGATCCTCATCTCCTTGAAGATCAACCAATGAGACCTCAAAGACTCTATCTTTGAGTCCTTCAGAGGCAATCTTGGTACCCTGAGTACGACTGACGAGGGTTTTGCCAACATTTTTTACTTGGAAAATAGAGGGAGCCTTAATGTCATACCAATCCTTCTTGGAAAAGGGATCAGCTGCCTTCTTCTTGGCACCCTTCTAGCCCTATGTGTGTATTTATGTGTGTATTTAACACAAGGGAGATTAGAAAGGGAGTTTTTAAGCCTAACTCAATCCCACAAAACCGACTTATAGAGTGAGGCTTGCATCCACTTATAAACTATGAATTGATCTTATCTCTAGTCGATGTGGGACTTCCAACACACCCCCTTCACGCCGAGGTATAGACATCTTGTGTGTGATAGTAAAAATTGGATGGTCCAATAATGGCCCGATAGCGGATAGAATAGAAGAATAGAATGCCCACTTAAAACTCGTTAGGATAAGCTCTAACCTGGCTCTGATACCACGTTGAATATAGTGAAAATTATATATGAGATTAATCTCCCTTGTGTTAAATACACACATAGGATTCTCTATTTATAATAGAAAAAATATGGGTTAAGCCCAAAATACAAATAAGAAATAATAACAAACTAACTAAAAGATAAAAGATATAATATATCTAACAAAAATTAAGTTTTTTTTTTTAAATGATTCATTGAA